ATAACCATCCCTCAAAAATGTATGCACAACACATTTTAAAGTTTAATCTGAGTTGACATTTTCTTCTCTTAAATCTAGATGCTGAACAAAACCATCAAGCCCTGATTTGTGGGTTTTGCCCGTTTCCAAGGTGAAAGTGCTCATGCTGAAAATTTAACAATTTAACACCTCTGCCTCAAACTCTCACTGTAATGGCAGATCATTTCTGAGAACATACCCCCTAATATTTAGCTCATTAAGAATTAATAAATGAAGTCTCTTTGAAAGAATTTTCTCTATGCTTTTCTAAAAATAAGAATTAAAACAATTTCATCAAGAGAGAGGTCCTTTTCAACCTCTTTCTGTCTCCTTTAGCTTCTCTTTGGCTGTGACAAGAGAACAGTCTCTTCAATTTTCTTCAAGCTATTAATCTAAACAGTCTTTCTCCGGACTCATTCATCATAAAATTCTCTTTATAAAGGTACTTAATAATAGTTAAGATAATTCTCCTGTGAAAGTTTTTCCTTGCTCTATTTCTTTTGTCCTCTCCAGAGTATCTTTTAAACCATCTTCATTGACTCTCTTCTCAGTTTCTCAGAAACTGCCAGTCCTGACTGCCAAATCCTAAACATTCCATTTGGCTCTTAAAGCTATAGAAACTGTAGCTATGGCTTCTGTAGGACAGGCTTTTGAAAAAGGGGTTATACTTGTGTTATAGTTATTGGAACTAACTTTCTCCCATGACTGGTGCTGACTCCCTACACATCTCTGCCTGCTTATTTTTGTATGTCTTACAAATCTCATCCATTAGTGTATAGAAGATCCTTAAGGGCAGGGAGTATCATTTAAAAAAAAATACATTACTTTTGTATGTCCAGTTTTTAGCACAGGAGTAGTGCAGGTATTTGGACTCTCTCTACTCCTCCTTCTCTTCCCTCCCCCTGCCTGTTTCTCCTCCTAATGCTCATCTGTCTCATTGTGACCCTAGAAATCTCTTTCTTAAAATCACAATTTTATGAAGAACTCTAGCCAAACTTCACCCCATTTAAGCTTAGACTCTTTCTCCTCCTCTATCAGCTGTCTGCACCCTTCTCCAGATTCCTTTTAGGTCTTATAGTCTGCTATTAAAATGCAAGCTTTTTGAAGGTGGGAACTGTCTTGCTTGCTTGCACCTGCATTTCCAGCACTAGTCAGTGCTTAATAAAGGCTCTAAAATTTTGGACAACCCCAGTGCTGAGGGAACCCCCCAAATATTTTTTAAAACCAAAAGAAAGATCCATATACTGTTGATCATAAAGGGTAGATCCTTTATGAAGCATTTATAGTGACCTCTTTTTTAAAAATTATTTTTATTTCAATTAAGCATTTATTTTCTCTCCCGTGGGATAGAAGTGGGAAGGAAAAACAAACCCTTGTAATAAAAATGCCTAGTCAAGAAAAACAAATTCCCATATTGGCCTTCTTCAAACAACTGGGGCTTCAAAACGGACCTATTTGTACAGCCCTCCCTTACTTAAATCCAATTCATTTGAATGTCATGTACATCGCCTCCCTGATGTCATGGTACTCTTCCAGAATGAAGGACAAGGGGCAGCTAAGGGGAGCAGTGGACAGAGCACCGGCAGTCAGGAGGACCTGGGTTCAAATCCAGCCTCAGACCAAACACTTGACACTTACTAGCTGTATGACCCTGGGCAAGTCATTTAACCCCAATTGCCTAAAAATAAAAAAAGAAACAGAATGAAGGACAAACAACAACAACAAAAAAAACAACAAACAACAAGAATTGGATATCCAAGGGATGCCCATCAATTGGGGAATGGCTAAACAAGTTGTAGTATATGATTGTAATGGAATACTATCCTGCCATATGAAACAACAAGCAGGATGATTTCAGAAAAACCTGGAAAGACTTCCAAGAACTGATGCAAAGTGAAGTAAGTAGAACCAGGAGAATGTTGCACACAGTAATAGAAATATTGGTGGATGAAAAACTGTGAATAACTTAGCTATTCTCATCAATACAATGGTCCAAGACAATCCCAAAGGACTAATGATGAGACATGCTATCTGCCTTCAGAAAAAGAACTGATACTGATTGAATACAGACTGAAGCATGCTATTTTCACTTTCTTTTTCTTTTATTCCAGTCTTCTCATACAAAACGAGTAATATGGAAATGTTTTACTTCATTGTACATGTATAACCTATCTGATTGCTTACTGTCCCAGGGAAGGGGTAGGGGAGGGAGGAAGGAAGGAAGGGAGAAATAGAATTTGGAATTTAAAACTTTAGAAAAAAGTTAAAAATTGTTTTAACATGTAATTTGGGGAAATTACATATGTATGTATGTATATAAAACCGGGGCTTCTCATTCTGTTTATTCAGTCCATCACCTCTCTCAGAGTTCTGGAATTACAGTTGGCCATTGCATCCATCAGAGTTCCTGCCTTTCAAAACACTGTTCTTGTTCTGCTCATATGAAGGATTTATAGAAAGGAATAAACCTGACCGGATGTGCGGAGGATGGAGGCCTGGAAGAAGGACATCGATCCCTGTTGCATCCACCAATTAACTAGCATTTATTTAGGGCATTCTACGCTGGGTCCTGGGGATACAACACATAGATGAAACAGTCCCTGCCCACAAGGAGCTTCCATTCAGGTGGGTGGGTGGGTTGTCCACAAGGCCCGGGGCAGGGTTGTTCGGTTCTGTCCCGCTTGCAAGAGCTGCCCCCCTCCGTCGGCCTCATCTCACTGCAAGCCCTGGAACTCCTCCCGGATGCCTGGCCCTTTAAAGCAGACCTCGGGAATAGAGTCAACCCCGGGAGGCGGAGAAAACAGCCGCACCGCCCGCGAGGTTGGTAAGGAAGCGGGGCGCGGAGGCCCGGCGGCAGCTCCTGCAGCTCCCCGGCCTTCTGCCCTCGGACCCGGGGCCACTTGCTTGCCCCCAGCCCCTTCCCTAAGCGGCGTGCTTGAGCTCAGCCCCGTCCTTTACACCGCAGGTTGCATGCCTGTCCTCAGCTTTTACACCCGGAGCCCCAGGCTTAATCCCAGCCCTTGCACCCCAGGGCCGCCTGCTTGCCCCCAGCCCCTTCCCTTGGGCCTCGGAAGCGTGCTTGAGCTCAGCTCCGTCCTTTACACCGCAGGTTGCATGCTTGTCCTCAGCTTTTGCACCCGGAGCCCCATGCTTAACCCCAGCTCTTGCACCCCGGGGCCGCCTGCTTGCTCCCAGCCCCTTCCCTTGGGCCTACGCGGCGTGCTTGAGCTCAGCCCCGTCCTTTACACCGCAGGCCTTGTACCCGGGGGCCGCATGCTTGACCCCAGCCCTTGCACCCGGGCTGCATTCTTGAGCTCCCGGCCTTGCATCCTGGCCGCCTGTAGGAGCCCGGGGCGGGTTCTGTGCTCTCCGCCCCGTGCTCAGAGAACCTTAGCTCGCCCGCGCGCGCTGGCACTGCCGTAGCACCCGGGTTCTGGGCTCTCGGCCCCAGACCCGCGCCCTCGGTTTGCGTAAGGAAGGTGCTCATGGGAGGGGCCGCGGCCTATGGAGGGCCCAGCGGGGCCGGAGCCTGGCGGGAGGGGCCGTGGAGACCCGGGGCACTGTTTTCTGCCGGGAGCACCGTGGCTTCTTGGGCTCGGGCTTCCTGCTTGGGGCCAGCCTAAACCCCAGAGGTCTATATTAGAGGGGAGGGCGTGGAGCAGCCCCGGGGGCCGGGAGGAATGACCATTAAAATGCCTTTTTCCCTTTAACAAGCCTTTGTCACAAATATGCATGATCAAGCAAAACAAATCCCGGCTTGGTCCTTGCCCTAAAACGTCTCCTTGTGCCGCCTGAGTCCCTCTGTCCTGAAGCTGATAGCAGGCTTCATCCTTGGGCCCCCAGGAATCCGCCTTGGTCGCTAGTTCCTAAACCTCCAAGCTGTTTGCCTTCACAATGATGATATTCATGTTTAGATTATTTTCCTGGTTCTGCTCACTTTACTCTGCATCAGTTCATACACGTCTTCCCAGGTTTCTTTGAAACCATCCCCATCATTTCTTACAGTTATAAATATTCCATCACATTAAACTGTATTTTTTTTTTTACAATAAACTATTTTTGGTCAATTGTTAACGTTAGGTCAGGCTTTCCATATCATCTGTCACATCTCTGGCTTCTTCCTCTGACCCAAGCTATCATATGTAATAATAGGCATAATAGCCATTCCTAACCAGATTAAAATATAATGAGGAATGTTTAACAAAATAAATAAAAATACAATAAAATATAGATAACTCCTTTTTAAAACCAAGTCAATATGTAGCCTGCAGGGATCATTATTTCCTGGTTCAGGGGCACTTTTATATTTGAGTTTGATACCACTATCCTGAAACACCAAGGTGTCTCCAGGCTCCTGTTGAAGTTTAGAGATTTAGGGATGCTAGGACCCCAAAATCACAATCCGCGGGACCTGCCCGAATAAATTTGACCCAAGTTTTCTTTCAGCTAAAGACAAGGTTTATTAGAACACAGATCAGGGGTAGATGAGATTTAAAGAATCCGCCATATTGGCCAGACTCTTAAGGAATCGAAGCATTTGTATTGCTATTGCAAGCAGGCCAGATCTTAAGAATCTGAGCACCTTAATGGAGGCCAGATGGACCTATATACAGAAAATCCTATATACAAAAGGAGGGATCTGGATGGGAGTGGCCAGTAAGCTGGTGTGAGGGAGGTAGGTAATGAAATGCCAGGGACCTGGACCATAGTGGCCAAGGGAGAATGGAGCCTAAATAGGATTAAGGGTGGGAAGTGGGGGGGGGGGGCATCGAGGCATCGAGAGGTAAGACAATGGAGGACTGGGATAGGTTTAGGGTAACCAAATTGGAAGATTGAGTGTAGATGATAATGAAGGGCCAGTTGATAGGATTATAGCCTTAGGCAAATAGCAGAGATTTGGCCATGTGGGAAAGTCCAAGGCTTTCCTTTTTGGGGTCTAGATCCCAAAGACATGGTCTTTTCCTTTTAGGGGTTGTCGACCTGAAAGTTGGTTAAAGAGACAACAAGCTAGGTGATAAGTAAATTCATATTGTTTTATTCCCTTAAGTTAGCAGCATGTAACATGTTACATGGAGGCAGAGCTTTAGCTCTAACCGAATCAAGCAATTTTTGGAGGACATTTAAACCCTGACTCAGGATGTCTGTGTTACTCAGTTTTATGGTCTCCATATGTTTAACCAGAGCAGGAGAAAGGAAATTTAAATAAGATAGGCAAATGTCAGATCCAGGATATCTGTGTTTCCTTTACCACCATCAAGGTAGTGTCTGTCTGGGTTAAAGGCGCCTTAGTGGTCATAAACCTAAGAATGCTCTTGATCAGCTTCAGCTGTTGACACAGGAAGGGGCATTCTCAGTTCACTGGGAAGAAAAGATTAATTCAGGTTTTTGGCCCTTATTTAGGCTCAAGTGATCTTAAATGATTGGCAGGGTTCAGATCCCATCCCCATCATAGAACTTGAATCCAGGTCTACCGGGGCTCCACGGCCCGATATCTCTGTCCTCTGTGCCACAACCACTCCAGCTAGGTGGGAAAATGGGGCATATATGTTTTCAGAAAGGAAAACAGTGATGAATTATTTCATTTGGCCATATTTAATGTATGACGAGAATTGCTCTAGGGAGGAGGGGTCATTGGGAAGTAACAATGATTTTAAAAGATAAAAAGATATCAATAAGACATTTAAAAGGTAAAATAGAAAAATAAAGTGAATAGCAGAATAGTTAATTCTTGAGGATCATAGGTTTAGAGGGGCCTTAGAGGACTGGATTTTCTTTTTTTTTTTAGAAGCAGTTGTGGTTAAGTGACTTGCCCAAGGTCACACAGCTAGTATGGACTGGATTTTCTTGAGCAGAGAGTCATCTAATGCATTTCCCTCTCTCTTCTTTGCGTAGATTTCAACCCAGAAGCAGATCTTACAGTCTTCGAGTCTTACGTCTCTTCTTTTCTTTAAGAAATCCCCCCAATTTGGGTTTGAAGCTGCGATTCCCAGGACAGAGCTTGACACAGGATTCTCTTTCTCAGCAGACTGAAGGCGAATCCTCCAGACGTGCTAAAGGCAGAATGGCTCTGGTTCCCTACGACTCGGAAGGAATAGGGATACAGAAATTCCATAAACCTCAGGCCACCTATACGTTTGCAAACCGCACGATCCAGATCCACCAGGACTGGAAGCAGCTGGGTGTGGCAGCGGTTGTATGGGATGCGGTTTGTATGCCCCCGGGCTTCTGTATTTCTTGAAAAACAACCAGATGACCCCAAAAATCACTTGAGGGTATGGAGACTTGATGGTCTCTCATTTACATTTTAAGGATGAGCGGGTAAGGCCCAGCAAAAGTCTTCCTCTTCCCCAGGATCACATTAGACTGCAAGTTAGCAGTAAAATCAGAACCCAGACTCGGCCACTCTGACTTCTAATTTTTTTTTTAATGGAATTTTTACCGAAGTCCTGATTCAAATCTGAAGTGCCCCAAATCCTTTTCTCTACAGTCCTAAAAACAGCGTGATGTGGATGTGTATGCATGCACATAGTAAGGCTCTTAATTGCGTTCTTTGTTGGCCCAGGCTGTGGTGCTCTGTACTTACCTGGAGACGGGGGCTTTCAACCTTCAGGGCTGTTCTGCAGTGGAGCTAGGAGCTGGAACAGGACTAGTGGGCATTGTGGCTGCTTTGTTGGGTAAGTTTGCCCAATTCTTTTAAGTTCCCATAGTGTTTAAAGCTAACATAAAAACCAGGTGTTTGTGGCATTTTCTTGATTTGGCCGTTTTCTTTACTCAGGAGGTTTCAATCCATGTAAAGGGTGTCCTAGCAGATAGCTTAAAACTGCACTAAGACTTTCTCACTGGATATGGGCCAGTAGCTGGTTATTATTATTTTTTTGGTCACATCCACAAACTCCTTCAGTTAATTCTTTTGACCTCAATAAAAATGGCTAACATTTATATATATACATATATATTTATATTCATATAGTGCTTACTGTGTACCAGGCACTGTGCCGAGCACTTAACAAATATTACCTCATTAGATCCTCACAGCAACTCTGGGAGGTAGGTGCCGTTTAATTATCCCTCCCTTTTACAGATGAGAGAAAACTGACACAAACAGAGGGACTTGCCCAGGGTCACACAGCTTCAGAGGCCAGATCTGAATTCAGGTCTTTCCCACTCCAAGCCCAGCCCTCTATCCACTGTGCTACCTCTGTTTCTTTTATCCCTTTTGTCTTCAGTTACCATCTTAGGTGAAAATTCCCCTTTGATTTTTTTCCTCCCATACTCTTACCCTTATTGAACATTTTTTTTTTTTTTGAGGCAGTTCGGTTAAGTGATTTGCCCAGGGTCACACAGCTAGCTAGTAAGCGTCTAAGGCCAGATTTGAACTCGGGTCTTCCTGACTCCAGGCTTGGCACTCCATCCACTGCACCACCTAGCTGCCCTCCAATAATAATAGTTTATATTTATTTATGTAATATTTATTACAGAGTACTTTTTTAACACTAAAAATTTCAATTATCATGCATTTAATTTTTTCCCTCCCACCATCCCAAACCCCAAATAGAAAAAGAAAAAACAAAAGCCTTGGGACAAATAAGTATAGTGAGGCAGAAAAAAATGACTTCGTTGACCATATCTAAAAATGTACATCTTCCTGCACATGTTGATCCATCACCTCTCCATCAGGAGGGCAGTAATATTTTCTCTTTTCTTTTTGAGTCCTTTAAAAAATACACTTTATTTATTTTGTTAAACATTTCCTCGTTTCATGTAAAAAATTATTTGGCATTAATTTAAAAAAAAATTTGAGTTCTAAATTCTGCCTCCCTCCTATCTCTCCCCCAGGACAGGATCATTCTTCATCACTGATCGGATGGAATCATGGTTGATCCTTGCATTGATTAGAATCCTTAAGTCTTTCAAAATTGTATGCCAAATACATTCATATGTCATAATTTATTCAGTGATTTAATGCCCAGTTAATTGATAGGTACCCCTTTAGTTTCCAGTATTTTGCCACCACAAAAAAGAGCTGCTATAAATATTTGTATATACATATATATGCACACGTGCATACATACTTATATATACACATACACACACACATATACCACTTTGGGTGGACGCTTTCCAATAAACCTTGTTGCCTGCTTTCCTTCCTGGATTTCTGCTCCTTGGCCATCCCCTAACTGACTCCATGTTGGACCTTATCATTCCTTGCAATTGGCTCCATCTCCCAAGATTTAAAACCCAAATAACCCCTCTCCAATCTGAACTTCTGTTGTTATATCACTGCTACCCAACCTGCTCTCCCCTCTCCTTGTGACTTCTAGACCCTTTATTCATCCCATATCCTAGTCCCTTAGCTGTTCTATGGGTTCAGTTGCCTCCATACTCATCCCATGAATCTTTACCCTGTTCTTGCTAGCACCCTGTTTGCATTTTAGGGGTTAAGGAGTGGGTAGTTGGCAAGGCAGTAAAAATATCATAGACTATGCAATCTAGAAATCTTGAGATGTATGGAAAAAGAGGGAGAGATTCACAATAGCTTGAGGGGAAATAAATAATGCTAATGCTAGTAACAACTAGCATTTCTATAGTGTTTACTGTGTGCCAGGCAGTGTGCTAAGCTCTTTACAAATATTACCTCATTTGATCCTCACAGCAACCCTGGAAGGTGGGTACTATTATTGTCCTCATTTTACAAAGGAGGAAACTGAGGCAAACAAAGGTTGAGTTTTGCTGAAGGTCACACAGCACAAAGTTAGGGTAGATGTTTTTATTTAGAAAAGGTAAGGACGGAGTATTTTTTAGGTAGATGGGAAGGAACCTATAGAATCAAGTTTCTTAACCTTTTTCTGTTTCATGTTCCCCCTTGGCAGTCTGGTGAAGCCTATTGACCCTCTTCTCAGAGTGATGTACATTAATATATAAAATCTATCAGATTACAAAGAAAAATCAGTTATGTTGAAATAGTCATTGAAATATACATATACATGTATACCAACATATATCTATATATACAAAATATACATATTTTTAAAAGTTCACAGATCCCATGCTAATAGCTCCTGCTTTAATGGAGTGTTACCATTCCTAAACTTACAAATTATTTTACCTTAATTACATTTTAGGTTATCTGTTTCCTGAGGACTTTTAGGGAGACTCTAAGTTTATCTTTGAGCACTTACTCAAACACATGTGAGTTAGGTTAACAGCTGATACATATGTATGGTAATGTTACCAATGGCAGAATTTTTAGCCATGAAGGACAACAACCTGTATCACAAGTGGAACATTAGCTTAGAACCTTAATGGAATGATAGATTAGAAACCAGAGTGTGGAAGGGCATAGAGATAGTGTATAAAGCACCAGACCTGGAGTCAGGAAGACCTGAGTTCACATCTGGCCTCAGATATTTACTGTGTGACCCTGGGCAAGTCACTTCACCCTGTTTGCCTCAGTTTCCTCATCTGTAAAATGAGCTGGAGAAGGGAATGGCAAACCACTCCAGTATCTCTGCTGAGAAAACCCCACAGGATCACAAAGAGTCAGACATGACAAACAACTGAATAACAGCAAAAATGAGATTAGGGGCCACATGACAGCAGCCTTCAGTAACTTGAAAGGCTGTGACGTGCAAGGCCTGGCCCCCACAGGGCAGAAGTAGTAGTGATGGGTAGGGGTTGTGGAGAGGCATATTTAAGTAAGGAAAACTTCCTAACAAAAGTGTGATGGGCTGTCCTCCAGCAGTCAGTAAACATTGATTAAGTGCCGCTGTGTGACAGGCAATGTTCCTAAGCCTTGGCATTTGTTTGGTAGGTAGAAGGCGTTTGTGAAGTTCTGTGATTATAAATAAAATTATTCTCCTCTACCATACCTGACTGCTTATGCGCCTGTTAGGAACCTGTTGGGGACATTAGTTACCAACTAATTAATTAATTGGGACATTATTTATCATGAGAGGCTATTTCTTTGACCCACATTCTAGGTGCTCATGTGACCATCACAGATCGGAAGATAGCATTAGAATTTCTCAAGTCCAACGTTCAAGCCAACCTGCCTCTTGATATACAACCGAAAGCTGTGGTTAAGGAGTTGACTTGGGGAAAAAACTTGGGGACCTTCTCCCCAGGAGAGTTCGACTTGATCCTGGGGGCTGACATCATCTACCTGGAGGAGACTTTTGTGGATCTCCTTCACACCCTGGAGCACCTGTGTAGCGACCGTGCCATCATCCTTCTGTCCTGCCGCATCCGATACGAACGGGATCACAACTTCTTAAAGATGCTGGCAAAGCATTTTACTGTACAGGAGGTTCACTATGACCTCGAGAAGGATGTGCACATCTATAAAGCACACAGGAGAAGCCATAAGGAGGACCTGTAGAGTATAGTCACAAGTTTGCCATAGACATACAGTAATATTTCTTGTGCTATCTCGTCAGGGGAACACAAGATTGTGAATCTAATATTGTGGCATCGTATGTAACTATCTGTATCATTGTTGAACCAAACTCCTTATCTGATGATATCTTCTCAGGCACATCAGAGTCAGAAGAATGAAGTATTTCTGTAGCATCGGTCTTGTGATGGGGTGCTTCTTTGGATAGGTGCTCAGACCCATCTGGATAATGTTTAGGGATAGGGACTGGACCTATGATTTATGATTTCAATGGCGTGACTTCAGTGGCCACTGTAATTTAGTGGACCTATGATTTATGATTTCAGTGGTTATGACTTCCAGGGAAGGAAACTCCCTCTACCAACAAAGGTCAATACCTTTCCTGAAACTTATTGTATTACAGAGTGTCTTAGAGAACCAAGAAGGGAAGTGACCCGGCCAGTGGGTCAGAGGTGGTCCATGAACCCAGGCTGTCCTGGCTTTTGGGACAGTTCTACATGCCAGGCTGCCCCTCCTGTGGATGTGGGAAGGCTGAATGACTTAGAATTTACTGTGAAATGTTCAGTGTTTTAATATAATATAGAATTTTCATAATGTGAAAGAGATTTGTTTACACATTCCCTTCTTGTCTTTGTTGGCCCTGTGTGGGTCTTTCCTACTTTTGTCTTGTGGCTGCAATTTGTAATTAGGACATAATATACTTCTAATTTCTAATTTCTTTTGCATAAAAATATAATGAAATGATTAAAATAAATATTTTTAAATATGAGTTTTTAGCTGAGAAAATAAATCATTTTTTACCCTTTTATGAATTACTTGTTGAATTTGTTAGATGCTGCTAAAAAGATTGTAGTTAATTCTTCACAAACTAACTTTTTTATTAATTCTGTTTTTTGCATATTTCTGTGGGGCCCTTCAAAAAGTGCATAGCAGGTCATATTGAAAACCAAAATGTGGTTACATAACATAGAGAATGGTTTTGCATTTCATTGCCCTATCCTTTTAAGTGTAGAGATTTGATGACGGGTGAGATTTTATGCATAAATAGTAATTTTTATGTCACGTGTGCTATTTTTTAAAAAAATGAATAGGGTTAGGTAATGGTGGCACCTTCCTGTGGTCCCTGCTGCTGGGGGGGGGTTGAGGATGGTGGAGAGTTTGAGGTTGGGACTTCTGGGAAGCAGTAGGGCTCATGCTGACTGGCTGTCCACATCAAGTCTGGGACAGGTACAGTGGGCCCCCAGAAGCGAGGTGGGACACCAGGCTCCTTAAGGAAGGGGGTACGGTCCTAGGTTGGAAAAGTGCAGGGTTTGGGACTGTGACTGGCCCAAGTGAGATAGGGGTACCCAGGACTCCTGCCTGAAAAAAATAAATGAATTGATAGTAGCTTGACACTTTAAAACTAAAGGCCTGTACTTTTCTTTTTTAAGTTTGTACTTTTCAATGATAAAAATATAATCATTTTGAGTATGGATAATTTTAGAGAATTAAAAATTGATTTTTATTTACTTTCCAAGTAGAATATACCACAGCAATTGGCAAACTTTTTTTGTTTATACACATTGTCTCTGAAATGACAAAATTTGTAACTCATGGAAAATCCTTGTCCTCCCACTAGTTTAAAAAAAAGTCATGCTTTTTATTAAAAAAAATTTTGTCCACATTAAATTTATTAATTTTACTATTGTTATAAATTTATTAATTAATGTACATAAATTAATTTATATCTACAAAACTGCTGTGCTTCTAACTTAATTAGAAATGGGGGTCTCACAACTCTTGGTTTTTTTTCCCCTAATTACTTCATTTTCCTTATAGTACTGCCTTAGGTAAAAAAATATCAATACTCTAATTTCCAATTTTGGAAGCCTCCACTTTATGCTTAAACTGAAGTTACCAATACTCCTATGAAGCAACTGATCAACTCTTTTGTAGGCTGTGGTGATAGCCACAAGGTGGCATTAGTGCCCCACACCTGGATCTGAAAAAAATGACTGGCCAGCAGTTTTTTTTTCCCTTTCCTTTTTCCTGCCTCCTTCCCTCCTGTCCTTCCTTCCTTTCTTCTTGCTTTTTGAAAAGAGAACACCCTCTTTTGTATGTTGGAATTGGGATATCATTAATATAATTATATGTGTGTATGTGTAGATACATATCTCTACATACATACACACATATATACACATAATTAAATAAAATAACTTTGGACTGCTCCAGAATGAAAAGATCTTTTAGTGAGGGTCCATACTAGATCTTTTCCTAGATGAAGCTAGTTAAAGAGTTGGTAACATTGGGAGCCGGGGGAGCTAAGTGTGACTTTCATCAGTTTTCCTATTAACTTGCCCACCTTATCAGATGCTGGATCCCCTTTGCAATTCAACTAGAAATAAAAAGAAACCAAATAGGGAACAAAGAGATGCTGATTTAAAACCACCAGTCAGACAAAAAGCATTTATTATGCACTTATTAGGGCAAGGCACTGTGCTAAGCCCTGGGGATACAAAGAAAGGCAATAATTATTTCTGCCCTCAAGGAGCTCACATTGGAACAGAGGAGACAACACGCAAACATTGTGCCTCCCTTGAAAACATTTCAGGACCCGATTCTATCTAAAAGATCAACCTTTAGAGATGGGGATTAAGATTGAGCCTGCATGATACAAAGACTGGGTAATTAGTCCTTGGATAATGGAGTGTTTTATGTGTCAGTCAGCACTTACTAAGTACTTATTATATGCCAGGCCCTGTGCCTCAGCACAGTTTACATTCATAAAATACCATAGGAATATAGTTGTGTAAGGCTCAGGATAAAATTTAGTATTTCAATTCTGTTTCTGTAGTCAGAATAAAAAATCTTGTGTTTGAGCACCGTGACTCATTATCTATCCAATTGACTTTCTTTTCCTCATAACAAAATTATCAAGTACTTCCCCTTTATTTTGAAAATGCATTCGTTCATCAAAATCAACCTCCACTTCCAAGGGTCCTATACTTGCTCTGGTCCTGAGAATATAGAGCTGCGATCCAGGAGCGAGTTTAGGGAGGAGAGAGCTTAGTTATCATTGGTATTACCTCACCTGCAGAGGACAGTGGGATCCGAAGTTTGCTGGAAAAGTCTTGAGATCTTGTAATTCAGCCCCTCATTTTACACAGCAGGAAACTGAGGCTCAGGTTAAATGACTTATCTAAGATCACCCAGTTAGTGTCTAAATTGGGATTTGAACTCAGATCTCTTGAATCCAGGCCCAATAACCTGGATTTCACTACTGCTGAATATTATTAGGCACTTCTGTGTTTAGTAATTGAGTGGATCTAGTGGAAAACTTAAGCTCTTTTGGTGTATGAGCCCGGCACAATTGAAAGATAGCATGAGAAAATGGCAAAAGTCCATGTAGACATTTCAAGGCCTAGAAGATCAAAGTTTGAAAAATAGTCAACCCATCCTTGCAAAATGTTCACAAAAATAAAATCATTGGCTTCCAATGCCACTCATAGACTTTCTCAGGTTATGGGCATGAGGCATGCCATTGATTTGGGCTAAGGTGAGGTAACAGTTATGCAGATAGGCAGAATTTTTTTCCTAGTATAGAATAGGTAGTTTATTCCCACACAGAAAAGAGAATGCCAAAGCAATAAAGAATCTTAGAATGATTAGCCTAGAAATCAGTAACATCATTACCAGTACAATTAGTTGGGAGGCTAATTTTCAAGCCTTCATGGGACATAAACAGTTTTTAGGCTATTAATGACCCAGTTCACCTTTCACCTCCACCGATCAAACACCAAACAAGATGGTCTTCCCCAGGGCCTCCTCTCCAGTGCCTTGTCACAAGCAGCCAATGTGACCTCTGGAACTGGCACTCATGGGTATCTAGGATCTTTCGATATTCAGAAGGTTGATGTCAAGACAGCCAGGGACCTCCAGTATAATAAGCCTGGCTAATTCAGCCTACCCCCCAAATGGAATGCAGGTGCTCAGACGACCCTAGGTAGGCAGAATTTTTGATGGGTTGGTTTATAATAAGAAATCATCAAAAGAAATAAGCTTATGTGTGGTAAGCAAGAAGAATCTTTTGCTATACTAAATATTTGGGAAATAGAATGAGAGTAAAGGCCTTAAAATATTAAACATTAGCATGTATTTATGTAGTATATAATTATATAATAGATGTATATATTTATATTCATAAATATTAAATGCTATGTAAGAACTATGCATAGGCCTCCAATATTAACTCTTTTTTGGACATATGTAAAGAAGTACATGAGTCTTAAATTAGTACATGAAACATTTGGGGGGTCTTAAAAGTCTTAGTGCAGTATTTCAGTAAGGAAACATTGAAAGTACTTATTTAATGAAGTCTTGCACTAAGACTTTTGGGACAACCTGCATTGAGAAGTTAGCTGATTGAGGAGGCAGAAAATAGCTCTTTCCACCAAACACATCTTGAAATTTTTTGAGGACAGAAATTATGTCTCATACGTCTTTTGTCTCAGGTCCCAGTAAAATACCCTATATACTCAATATATATTTACTGCTTCACATTATAGAAGGTATTTTATGAGATGGTGTGGAAGATACAAAAGTGACTAGTAGTCACTGCTTCCAGAACAAAAGCATGGACTGATTTTCTTGTTATTTCCTGCTACCTTCCTAGCTCAGTTTTCCCAGTTAAAGGTGAGATAAGTAAAACTCCTCTCAGATTTGTTGTTGGAATTTTGAAACATTTTATTTAACCTATGACCAAGAGAACCTCTGGTCCTAATACCCAAAATTACATTAATAGAGATTTTAAAAAATTAACAGTCTGTTCACAAAACTTCTGTGCTTCTGTAACTTACACATAGTAATGGAAGGCTCACAATTCTTCTTTTGTGTCTTTTTGGTCAGCTCTTAAAAAACCCAAACATGAGGAATTTGTACAAAATGATTATCCAGTGTATTAGATAATGGGAATTGTATACAAATTCAAATTCAACAAACATTTATTAGGAAACTACTACACTCAGGGCCTTGTGCTAAGTACTGGAGAAGACAGGAAGATACAAAGTTTTAATAAGACAAGGTCTCTGCCCTCATGGAGCTTACAATCTAGTCAAATTGGCAAGCATGTATTAAGTGCTTACTATGTGCCAGGCAATGTGCTAAGTGATGGGGATATAATCTAGGAAGGAAATAACTTCTTAAAGATAAAGGTATAGCTGGATGATGGAATCAGGGAAGGGAGGAGGTATTAGTGTAACTTGGGTTGTGAGGGTCAGGTACGGATTTGAGTGGCAGAGTGTGGGTACAGATGTGTATGTATCTGGCAGTGGGAGTGGTGATGGTGTTCTAGGCTTAGGGAATAGTGTGAACAAAGGTAGACAGTGCCCAATGTATACATGGGATGGTGAGTAGTCACATATGGCAGGAACTCTGTATGCACAAAGGCCAGGATGAGACAAGGATCCAAAGAGTAGGATGGCATTAGGCTGTGAAGGATTTTGAATGCCTGGGAATGGGGTAGAGAGTGAGGAGATGTGGTTATTGCATGCAGAAAGAAATGTGGAGAGAGGCACACAAATATACTGTTGGGGGGACTTCGAACTGGTCCAAACATTTTATAAAGCAATTTGAAATTATGTCAAAAAAGAGTCATAACCATACCCTCTGAAAGGTAGACATTCTAAGGAGGTAAAAGACAGGAAAATCCGGTATAACTCAAAAGGTTAACAGCAGTACTTTGTGATGGCCAAGATTTGGAAACAAAGATGATGCCTACTGATCAGGGAATATCGAAACAAATTGTGCTACATGAATGTAATGGGATATTACTGGGCTGAACAGGTAATTAGGTGATGGACTGGAGAGTCTGGAAAATCTGAGTTCAAATCTAGCCTCTGATACTGTGTAACCCTGGGAAAAGACAACATACCCGCCTTAGTTTCCTCATCTGTAAAATAGGGACATCTACTTCACAGGATTTTTATGAGGATCAAATAATATGTACAGTTCTTTGGAAACCTTTAAGCACTATGTACGTGCCAACTAATTCAGAGATGTCCAAGAGGGCTTTTATGTACTGACGCAGAGTGAAGGAAGTAAGCTAAACCAAGAAAATATACAAAATAGAAAAATAAAACAAAACTGAATGCTTTGCAATTAAAATGATCAAACTTTTCCCGGAAAAAGAGGTAGGGGACTACAGATGAGATGTTGCATATACTGTCAAACACAGCTGATATGTTAGTTGATGTTTTTTTTTCTCTTCTTGAATCTTTATTACAAGGGGAGGCTCACTGTATAAGGAGAAAGGATAGGGTAGTCATAAATGAAAGTAACTGAAAAACAAAACATAATAATAAACCTAAGATTTTAAAGAAAAGACTTCTACTAATACAGGCTGGTGATGGTGAGTACTTGTATTAGGACTGTAGGAGATGTGCAGATCAGTTCCGGATGTGTTGTCCTTGAATACTTATATACAAATGAGTGGAATCTGTGGAAGGTTGGGGCCCCGTGACTCCTAAATCTTCATCTACTCCACAGAATGATACGTAGAGCTGTCTACTCTCTTGGTCCCAATCGACCCTTCCTGCATTACCTCCAAGGACTCCTCCTAAAGTGTGATATTCTCTGCATGCATGTGTCACTTTGGCCATAGCTCACAGGCTTCTCTTCACCCAGTATACTCTTCTCTGCATCTCTGCATGCTGAAACCCTACCTATTCTTCAAAGTCCTGCTGAAATGCTCTCTTCTCGGTCAAGTTCTCCTAAATTGCCAAATTAAAAGTGAGCTCATATAGCAGTCTGTTCTCTTAGGAGGCACTTGAGACAATCTGTTTTGTGTTACAGTACATGTCTCATGTGCCCCTTACTAGACTGTATGCTCCTTGAGGGGAGAGATATTCTTAGATTGCTTCTCCATTTCTGGGGGAGGATGCACTCAAGACATACTTTTAAGCTGAATCAGCATTCTTAACATATTTTCAATTAATAAAACAATAAACCAATAAACCAAGTCCTGGTTTGCAGGCTGCCATTTTCAAGGTATAAAATGCTCACACAAAAATTTAACAACTGGGCCCTTCAAGTACACTTCTGTATAACTGGCACTAATAATTGTTTGCTAGATTCATTTTATCTCCTTGGATAGCCCAATGCTCTTTGCTATGTCCCCAGTGTCCCAGGCCTAGGATTCCTAATCTCTATCTTAGATGTAGGGCAGCTAGGTGGCACAGTGTATTGAGTGCTGGGCTTAGGATTCAGGAGCTCATCTTTGTGAGTTCAAACCCTGCTGCAGATACTTACTAGTAGTGACCCTAAGCAAGTCACTTAACCCTGTTTGCCTCAGTTTCCTCATCTGTAAAATGAGCTGGAAAAAGAAATGGCAAACCATTCCACTACCTTCACCAAAAAACCTCCAAATGGGGTCATGAAGAGTTGGACAGGACGGAAAAACACACCGTGTTACTTCATATAACAATGGCCCTTGCTTTCCATTCACGTTAATTTAATAATCCCATCATCTAACATGTCCTGCATGTGTTCCTACATTGGAGCTTTGTAGGTTGTAATTGGCTTTAAAAAAAAAAAAAAAAGGAACCATATCCCTGTAATTACCATGTAACTATATAAGGCATAATAATTAGGAGTTTAACAAACATTTGTCAGCATTAATGAAAAAAACTCAAAAGACCTAAGTATCTATACACTATGTGCGAGGCACTATGTTGAGTGATTAAAAAAAAAGCAACTAAAAAACAAGTATAGTACTTGCCTTCCAGGGGATTAATCTCCGATTAAGGGAAGGAATGTGCTATGCATTTGGATAAATATGAGATAATTTGAAGAAGAGAGTTCTACGAACTGGGGTGGGGTGAGGAGAGGGAGAGATGAGAAACTTCCAGCAGACATGTGCCATAATTTAGCCTTAGGAAGGGGACTAGGGTATGTTGCCCAGCATAGGGCACAGCCTCTATAAAGGAACAGAACTAGGCAAACTTAGTTCAGTAAAAAGCTTAGTTTGGTGTAGATCACTGGCTGGAACAGAGTGCAGGAAGGAGAAGGAGTATATCTGGATGAATCTGGAAAGGCAGATTAGGGCTGGATTGTGGAAACATTTAAATGCTAAGTTGAACAAAGTGTTTTATTTTAGAGGCAAGAGGGAGCCATTGAAGATTTTTCATCAGGACGGACATGGTCTGACTTGTACTTATTGTTGGAGGATGGATTGGAGACTGGAAGCATGGAAAGCTAGGGGAGAGATTATGAGGGCCTGAGCTTGAGGAATGGCCATGCAAGTAGAGAAAACATAGACATGGGTGATAGATGCAGTGGAGGAAGAATTGATAAAACTTGGCAACTGACTGGAAACAAAGAGGTGAAGTAATAAAGGGGAATCAGGCAATTTAGACCTGGATGTAATATGTGGGACTGACAAGATGGCGGTTCTCTTAATAAGATAGGGAAGTTTGGAGGAGGAAAGAGCTCTATTTTGAACATACCAATAGGACATTGAAGGTAGAAATATTCAGCATAAGTTTGGCAATGTGTGACTGAAATTAAGGAGCTACATTAGGGATATAGATATAGCTATCACACAGTGGACAGACCACTGGGCGTGAAGTCAGTAAGAACCTGAGTTCAAATCTGGCCTCATACACTTACTAGCTGCATGATCCCTGGCAAGTCATTTGTCCACTTGTAAATGGGGATGATAATGATAACACCTACTGCCCCTACGTCCCACGGCTATGGAGAGGATCAAATGAGATAATACTTGCAAAACCCTCAGCACAGTGCTTGGCACAGAGTAGGCACTTAGTAAATGCTTCTTTCCTTCCTTCGTTAAAGGGTAAGAGAAAGGAGGACAGATAATTGGAAAATAGCTACACCGAGAACAAAAGACAGATAAATGAATAAGCAAAGTAAATAGAAGGTCCAGTTAGAGGTTAGAAGTCAGAAGTGCCTTGGAAGCCAAAGGAGGACAAAGCATGTCCAAAGAAGGCGGTTAACGGGATAAACCTTCTTGTCTAATATTTAAGGTTTACTAGAAAAAGGTCTAATGATTGTTGGTAACTTTGGAGTACTGGGATCAGAAACCAGATTGGAAGAGATTGAGAAATTGAGGAGATAAGGATGCCAGGCAAGGAAGTCAGTGCAGACAACTCTTTCTAGGAATTTGGATGGGAAGGTCAAGAAAAGTAGGATGCTAGCTTAAGGAGATGACAGGGTCAACTATAAGACATCAGAAGCCCTGGGCAAGTTTATAGGTTGTGGAAAGGGGACCAGTAGAGGAGACAAAGACGAGAAAGAGCAGTAGAATGATATAAAGGGTGCGGTCTGAGACAGTAGTTCTCAAACATTTTGGTCTCAGGATCCCTTTAAAAATTGAAGATCTTAAAAGAGTTTTGTTTATGTGGGTAATATCTATCAATATTTGCCATGCTGGAAATTAAAACTGATATCTATGAATTCATTTGAAAATAACACTAACAAACCCATTACATATAGATATAATTTTCTGATAAAGAATTGAATTTTCAAAAAAAAAATTAGTGAGAAGAGTGCCATTGATTCACATATTTTGCAAATCTCTCTAATGCCTGGGATTAACAGAAAATACTAGATTGTAATTTCTGCTTCTGCATTCAATCTGTTATGATATCGTTGCCGTTGATCATACATGAAGAAAATCCAGACACAGTTGGAAAAAAGAGGAGTATTTTAATAGGCAAATAATGCCTTAGTATCTTGGAAAGTTTTGACCTCATGGACCTCCCTGAAAGGGTTTTGGGAACTCAAAAGGTCCATGGATCACTTTAAGAGAACTGTTGCTCCAAGCTAGGAGAAATATCATAGGCAAAAATGGAGCGGATAGGGCTTTCTCACAGATTTCCACTTCTTTTTTCAAAGATTAGAGTAAAGGGAAGAGAAACATGTGGATAGCCTTAATTTTCTCAGTAAAGTAGATGAGGTTATTTTTTGAGAAGGAACGAGTTGGTGTACCTGGTGTAGGGAAGAGTTTCAACAGCCACTGTGAAGAGTGTGATGGTCAATCAGGGAAGTCTGGGATGGGATGACTTGAACTGGTAACAGACCCAGGTGTCATGGTTGTGGTGTTAAGTAGCTCAAGAGAAGGCAGAGAGTGAGGGTCACTCAAGATATGGATTTGGCAGGCTGTCAATGGAAATCCATTCAAGGGTGGGACAGATAGCTGAAGAGAGAAAAGTAAGGCCAGAAAAATAACTACAATTACTGAACATCAGTTATTTCCCCTAAAGTTGAACAATTAAAAAAATCTTTAGAATCTTTTCATTTTCTAAAGGAAACAGGTGAAGAAATTATCCTCTATTTTCCTCTATTACTTTAATGTCACAATCACTTTTTAAGGTACCATCTTGAGTTCAGTTATCTAGTTAGTCCAACCTCCCACGTCATTCCTTCTACAGTATTCCGGATGGTCCTTTCTCTTTCACTCACAGTCCATATAACTTATTAACACCTTCAATTCAACTCAATTTAAATTACTGTATCCCAGTGGAGAATCCTGTACTTAAAATATGGGCATGCAATGATACGTGGCAACAGAAGATTTACTATAATTTTCTGGTATTATTCTACCCAAGGATTTCTTTTATATGACACTTCTATCAGCATTTTTGCTCAAGTAACAAAATGAACAAACACATATAAATAGCTCAAAGAATACCATTTGTCACTACTGTTTAAAAAAAAAAAATATATATATATCCGACCCCCAAAAAAGAGACTTATAAGCATTTTTAAAAGCATGTTTATGTGACTGCACATAAATGTTGGTGTAAAAAGGGCATTTTGACAGTTTATACCACAAAGATTACAGTAAGAAAAAGCACTTCTTTATGACAATTCACAAATTCACAAGGATCACTTTAATATACAAAGCAATTACTATCATTCTGAAACAAAGCAGCTAGTATGTACATAGTGTTAATAAAATGCATTATAACTCAGTACATTTTTTTACATAGATAAAGCACAAAAGATTTAAGTAAAAAAAAGTTAAAACAGGGATGTTTCTAGAATGTAGGGAATTTTAATACAAACTTTTTTCCCTATTATAGTTTATTTTTAATCCACTCCAAAAGAAATATTAAGAATTAAGATCAGTACGCTGTTTTGTGCTGATGGTTCTGGGTAAAGTAAGAAATGGATAGAATTAATCTTTACCTCAATTTTCTTAAAAAACAAATCAAAATAAAACAACTCTAGAAACTTCCCTGATCATATTCTTTTTTTAAAAAATGTTTTAAATTATAAATTTGGAGTAGAAATAATTCTTTCTTGGTGATGACAACCAAAATGTGAATAAATCAGGCAGGGACAACTTTACACAGAAAACTGATAACCAGCACTCTTACTCACCCCTAATAAATCCATACTAGCAGGAAATATTGAAGGTCAGACATACGCAAGTTCTACAATTTACTCTCCCATTTTTAATATAAATAATTTTATTACATACATAAAATGGAGTGGCATCTGGATAAAATACACATTCTATAGAGCATTTTACCAATCCAATTAACATAAAATAAAATAAAACCCCCAAACACATGATAGACTGCTTCATTTGGCCAACTAATATAAGACCTTTATTTTCAGGGATCTCCGCCTCTCCTCACCAATTTCAAATCATCTTAGATGTACCCTCCCCTCAGGCAAGCTATTCCTTTAAGGCTGAATCTTGAAAATCCTATGCTTAAATAGGCAAGCATTACATAACATCTACTCCAAGTAGGTTAACTGATTTACCTATTCCTCCACCCTTCCAAAAACATTTCCTGAGGACTGCAGATTTTATTATTTGCAGGTGAGGAAAAAAACCCAAAATTGTCATGATATACTAACCCCCATTCCTCCCTCCCCTTTATTTCCCCTCCTCCCCCATCTAGGACCTGCACCCACAGTACCAGAATGCAGTAGACAGGTCAATATTTTTCACTTCTGTGCTAAACAATTCTGCCTGTTTATACTATCAACTTACTTTACAGGCTTCACTGTATTTTTTAAGTTTTATATTTTTTAAAAAATAAATTTCAAGCTAAAACACCTGAAATACACTCACTCCTTTCAAACTGTATCTGGTCCCTCTTAAAATCTGTCTGCCCCTGAGGACACATACAAAGGCTTAAGTTACATTCACTAATTAATGCGAACTTATCATAAAGCAGATGAGACAGATGGAACTTCAGCACCCTGTTTAATTTATTTGAAATCCTTCCACACTGGCTCAGCTTAATGATATGTTCAAGCCCCTCTCCCAATCATTGAGTCTACAAAGTGAAGGAAACCAGTTCCTAGTACACATAGTTATAGTAAATTGCTAAAGTCAACATTAACAATATTCAGGATATATACCTGGGTCATCAATTCATCTTCATTGCTGCCTAACAAAAAAAAATCTAGTTGTGCTTCTTATAAACAAATGAACAAATTATTCCATGCACCTTTTGTCTCTAGGTCAGCAAATTTTATTTTTCTTTCACTTGAATTAAACTTATTCAAATATATAATCGGATTTAGGCTCAACACAACCAATTCAGAGTAAAAAATTCAGCACAATATTTTATTTGGTTTACACAATGACAAATACTTTTTTTCAATCTCTTACCTAAATGCAATTCAGATGGTTGTTCTGGTATCACATTGACAGTCTTAACGTTGGGGAAAAACAAAAATGGGGGAAAAACTTTGTCACAAGGAAAAAACTCAATTTGCTATGTGTTGAAAAAGAACAAGATAGGATGTGAGCCAGTCTTTATTCTATTTAGTGGCCCTGACAAATCTCCCACCTTAGCACCTTAATGTAAGACTAATCTTCAGGTACTAATATTTCAAACAACAAAATGTCTGTGTTAAAAAACAGTCACATGATTTAATCAAAAGAAAGAGAAAGATGGACAATCAGTTCATGATTACTTGCTAAAGAAGCTTCTCATATTGTCAATACCCAAGTTCCTAGAAATTGGGTAGTTTTTTTTTTTTAAAAGTGCATTTTATACCAAACATTTACAAAGAATAGAATGTAAAAAGAACCCAAATAAATATACAACTTTTGTGTCAGGTCAGTAGAATATAATCCACTAACAGTTTTCAGAGCTCAAAAAAAAGGAAAGAGAGAAGCTCCTTCCAAAACTTACTAAAAAGTTGTATTATTTCCACTATTCCCGAACCCTGAAATGACTTCAAAATTTTAACTTTAAGATACAAGGCCTACTTAAATTGCAAAATGAAATGACTTTTAAATTTTCTAAATAACCAGAGCCCAGTTTGGGCTGGTGACCAGCTACAACCGCTCCTAAAATAAAAACTGATTTAATGTACATAAAGAAAAATCTAGGTTAAAAACACTTCAAGTAAGTAACGTATTCTTGTCAAACCAAACACTGTTGTTTTTTCCTAAGCCTTTGCATGATTCCAAGTATTACCTCTCCTGGTGTAGTACCCAAGTGGGGATTGGGCCTGAGAAGAAAGAAACATCAGCTAGATGACTCCTCCTCGGATAGCCAGCCTGACTGGAATTGTGCTTTCAGATCATAGCAATGTTGCTGACTATCATCAAAACACCATTTCTGATAACCTCCTGCCTAAGTAAAACTCAAGAATCCTTCCCCAGAATGGTTAAGAAAACCAGTGGCTCCTTTTCAAAAAAATCTTCCAATTTTGTTTGTTTGTTTTTTTAAACCACCATTATAGCTGCCAGAGACAAAGCAAAAAACAAACAAACAAAAGAAAAACAAAAAAAACTTTGGGGGGAAGTTTTCAGGCAAGTATAAACATAATTTATGTAAGTATTAGCCTAAAAAAACTAACAATAAAAAAGAAACAAAATAGTTGGAAGAGTAATTAAACATAAAAAATGCAATCACGAGTGCTGGAAGAACACAATCCAAACACTACCAAAAGGGATGCAACAGCACACAGAAATGTGCGAGCTGTATCTGACCTCCATAGACTATAATACTCAGCATTCCTGACTTAAGAGCTCTCAGAGCTTCAGATTATATACTGTGTGTATATATATATATATATATATGTACATATATTATACATATGTATTTTTCCAATATCTAAATTAACAGAGCACCTCTGACAATATCACAACTGTCAGCCTGGTACTTTTATTTGTAAAATAATGAAAATAAAATAAAATTTGAAACCAAATTTTTATACTGTGAACATAATGGATCTAGCCCTTTCTAGCCTGCGCTTCTGTTAAACCCTACCAAAACCCCAAAATGCTTAACTTTAAGATATAAAAAATGCCCCCCACACACTTAGCTTTTATGAGACTTGATCTGTCCTACCGATAAAAGTGCCAACAAGCCCTAATTTGCAAAGTGAGCAATATCAATTTTGCTATTTTCTACAACATATGTACAGATTCCTATGTTTTCTTTCCCTTTTGGCCAAAATGAAGAGTAAAGCATCTATTATTGGTAGCTGTTATGTGTTCTTGGTTAACATTGATTTCAATGTGGGTTTCTTTTAAAAATTTACTTTCTAGATGATGATATACATATTCCTCAATTCTGTTATATGCTTGAACAACTAAACTTTTCTAAATTTTGTTTTAAAAAACAACCTGAAGGAAAGCAGCCTGATTTCTATTTGTGGAAACTGAAGTCCTCAAATATACCCAAGGATCTACATGAAGTTCATCTTAAGAGCATATGCTCTTCTCTCCTCACCACACTGTGACTGATTTCAATTCAGTGTTACAACCCTTAAGGTGAAAAGAGCTAGGTCATTCTTCATGACTCAATAAATAATATTAATATTACTGCCATTATTTACCAGGAAAAAATAGGCAAACTGCCAACCAACTTCCTAATAAACTGAGAAGTACCAACTTTCGTAAAACATAACCTTTAGAGGGGAGAATCAACTTGCTAGGCACTAGGCTATCTAGAGCCTGTAAAAATTTTTAATGGAATTCCGTATTTGATTACTTAAGCAGTAAGAAATAATTTTGCCATGAAAACAAATCCTTGGATTCACTTAGATTCTTCATTATGGCCAATGTTGAGGATTGAGTGTACAATGGTACACTGAAATGCCAATTAAAAAAAAAATACATTATTTGTCCAGGTAGCTCAGTCAGGTAGAACACTATACTTTTAAGCTGTTTGAAAGCCTTGAGAATTTCAAGAATGCATCCATATTTATAAACTATATCACTTTAAAAGCTACATTCTTTAATGATGTCCCCCCACTCTGTTTACATTAAAAACCCCCCCCGCTATGACAATAAGCCATTTATAGCTTAAAATATTGCTTTTCAAAATTGATCCAGTAAAAGCTGACATGACTTTTGCATTTAATAGTAACAGTCTAACACAATTTGATTTCAAATGATGATGACCCAAGACAAAACATTAACCCTACAAGTTTTAGCATTTCTTAAAACTCTTATAAAACTGAATGCAAAATCATAACCGCAAATACTGTGACAATGATCTTAAGCCAGTATTTTAAAATTCTTGTATTTCACATGAATTATACCTACTTTAACAAGGTGAATATTAATTTTATTTCAGGTAGATTTAGTGAAAATAATTTAGCAATGAATACTTCCAAAAATTATTAGATAATTATTGTGTGACACACACACAACCACACATTTCTTATTTAGGAGTTTGGACATGCAGTTACTTTATCAAATGACAAAGATCACATGCCATACGGAAAGCCTTAAGCATATTAACCTTTTAAGGCAAAAACAAAAAATTTAGGACTTTGGTGGTTTTGAATGTGTATGTGTGTATGTTTAAATGAATGAAACCCAAACATTGTAATAGAATTCACTCTTAGACACTGCACTGAAAAAAAAACAAACACATGCATAAATTAACACCGATGCTTTTCTGAATGTCCTTATAACATTTTTATAGCTTTCACTGATAAGATTCACCTGGTGTAAACTTATACTTAAATGAATCAATTTCATTTTTCCTACAACACATTTATTTTCATTAATAGAATATTTCATTTTCTCTCTTTAGCATCCTGAAGGCTTTTTTGGTAATGATAAAATGTTAAGTACAGAGGGGAAGAGCAGGTATTGAAATGTTTAAAAAATAGTAAATGATTACTGTTCTGAAGCCATGGACATGAATATTCATAAAAACATCTTTTTAATATAAAGGGGCTATTCTATTCTTTAACAGTTCTCTTCACTGAAAAATTAATAATGCCTTAAGTAAAAAGCTCTTCACACCTGTATTGGTTAACTTTACTTCACTTTTGATCCAAAGGCTATGCTACACCATTCACTTGGTGACTTCCTTAAATGCATTCAAAATACAGAGCACACAGAGAATTGCAATTAAGAAGGGAGTGACCCAAAAGAGAGCCAGCCCCAAAATGCTTGACAGGTATGAACAAGTTTTTAGCACTGCAGAAGTTAGAGAATAGAAGATACACAAGAAACTCCTCTGAATTAATTCCTAATTTTTTTCTATATATAAATCCCTCCTTTTGGGGTATATCATTAGCAACAAATTTAAATAATTTACAAAGAATACAGGTCAATTTGGCAATCATCACTTCGTCATTGCACCTTACTTACTTTCTGCATTCAGTCCAAACGATACTTCAAGAGGCTGGGGGGAGGGACGAGGAGGAAGGGGTGACATTTCTGTTGCTAAGGCAATCAAGGAACTCAGCACAAATCCTTGAAATTATTAAAAAAAAAAAAAAGGATTCTTCTCACCTTCCCCCAACAATTCAACAAATAACAAATTATTACTCCCTGGAGAGCATAGAGGGAACAAAAAACAGAAGTCTCTTCTTCATGATCAGGAAGATGACAATTTCTTGGGGCGGGGAGAAGTGGAGGCAGGTGTCTGAATATTCACAGTTTAATGCAAAGCACAGATGAATGAAATTCTGTAGTTGCTTTCAGGCAGTTTTGCGCATAGAAAAAAAGAGAACTGTTTAGAAAATAAAAAGTTTACTTTGTCTTTCTGGCTGTGGACAAACCAGTCATTTTCTCCACCTTAGGAGGTGAAAATGAAAATCCAAAATTAATCCGATTTGTGGCAGTAAAGGTCCTTAAGTGCTTTTAGCTCCTCAATCAGTGTCTTGTTTTGGTTCTCAAGCACAGCCACTCTGTTCTCTAGGCATTTCACATATTCCTTTTTCTTCCTACGACACTCACGTGCTGCTTCCCTACAGACAGAAAAGAACATTTTAAAATAAAATTCAAAGATAGCTCTCTGGGAGGAGCAAAGATGGTAGGATACAGAGGGAAAAGCAGGTGATTAAAAACAAGAAACACCAATAAAAAACTATTTTAAAAATACATCATACAAAGTATCTTTATGGGAGCTCATTTTGGACTAAAGTAATTGGAAAACATTTTGAAAAATAGTGTCATGAACTAGACATTCTTAAATCCGTAATGAATTAAAAGGACCTTAATAATGAAATACCAATCTTACTTCCTAACTACCAGTTCCAAACTGTGCTGCCTCCCCTTACGTCACCACACCCACTAAATCTGGACTCTGGCAGCAGCACAACTCTGGGCTGGTGGACAGGTGAGCTTCCCCTCTGCCTGCCCAGAACCAACCCTTACTTCCTGGCCACCACCCAAAACATGATACCACATCTCTAACTCCTTCATTCAATACCCCTTTGAGATGATGTCTTCCTCCACTGCAATATAGAATGTAAACTCCTTGAGACTGTCTGGCTCACTTGTATTTGGGTCCACAGTGCTTAGCATACTGCCTGGCACATGGTACTTGCTAAATAAATACCTGTGATATCAATTTATCAATCAAAATATTCTATTATGTACAGTATAAGTTATAAGCAGCATGAGGAGAAAGTCTGGTCACCACATCATCTCAGAAAAAAACCTGTTTAAAAATTATCAAATGGTTTTTTCGTTAACATTGTGTTAACATTGCCTACCTCCCCAATTTCCTTCCTAATTTTGGCTCTGAACCTCTGATTTCATTAGGATAGAGAACTCCTAGTGCAGAAACTTCTCTATCAATGCACATCTGCCATGGTCTTGGCAACCTCTGGTCTTAGGAGAGTGACCCGGAGCACTGAGAAGTTAGATGACTTGTCCAGGGTCACACAGCCATCATATGGGGGACCTGAAATCCAGTCTTTGTGGCTCTGAGGTGGGATATCTATCCACTATACAACACTGTCTCTTCCTCCCCATGGCACAAGATATTAATTTATCTATGAAGCTTAAAGGCATTTACTCTGACTTTAAAAGACCTGATAAAACGTATGTGAAAAATACTTGCAACCGAAAATTTTTCTTAGTATCATTTAAACTTCAAATCTCTTCCAGCACACCAGCATAATTCTTTAGGTGTAAAAGTACCTGATCTTGGTACTTGATAGCAGAAGAAGCATTGTCTTGGAGTTAAGAGAACTGTTTTGAGTGCTGGCTCTGACAACTGAGACCTTGGGCAAATCGCTTATCATCTCACTGCTTCAGTTTACTCATCTGTAAAATGGGGGTAATAATAGCTAGTATTTATATAGCACTTTAAAGTTTGCAAAACGTTTTACTCTCTCATTAAAAAAAAAATCCTCACAACAACCCTGGAGGTAGGTGCTATTATCATTGTCATTTCACAAATGATGAAACTGAAGCAGACAGAGGTTAAATGACTTGCCCAGGGTAAGTGTCTGAGGTCATATTTGAACTCAGGTCTTCCTGTCTCTTAGGTCCAGTGTTCTATCCCCTGTGCCACCAACCTGTCTCCAAATTGTACTTCTTATCTTACAGGGTTGTTGTGAGGAAAATGTTTTATAAACCTTAACTTAAAAGCAACATTAAAAAATGCCCAGTGCCTGCCACTCAGAGAGCACTGAGTAAATGCTTGAATTTAGAATACATTAAAGTATAATTAATATTACTTCCAAAGCCTCTTTTAATGCTTTTTCTCTCTGTACTATTTCTGTTTTCACCAAATCCAATTCTTGTGTACAAATCAAAATTATATCCTTCTTTGCTTTATTCCTCCTGCTGTTTTCAACCACCCAAGCTGTTAATTTTTTTTTCTCAGAAGGCTGGCCTTCAAACATTTGAATATAGGCACTGGGTGCCCCTGACATCTTCTACTTTTCCAGTCTAAACATATCCAAATTCCTGTAATTTATTCTGTTACAGATTCCAGATCTCTCATCATCCTGTTCTTTCTTCACAAGACAGTCAATACTATGGTCCCATGAAAAATGTTAGTTATTATTGTTAAAGTTATGCAAAGGGCATGGATTATTCCATTTCTTAATTTTTAAAATTCTTAATTTTAAATTTAAATTTAATTAATTTAATTAACTAAATAAATTAACTTAATTGAAAATTTTTACTTTTTCTTCCCCCATAAAAACTGCTTGCAAGTCAGGTCTATTTTATATTTATGTATCCCCAAAAATTAGGTACCAAAAACATTTATGGGACTTTAGAGTTATTTTTGTTAAATGGAGATATTATTTTTAATACTAAAGTTAGTAACCATTAACAACTTTTCATTTAAGAATAAGAAACAATTTTATGTGAAATGATGAGCTTCTAAACTGTTTTCCCTACATCCAATTTCTTCCTTTACTAATTCATCTTATAGACAGTTGCCAAAATGAAATTCCTAAAGCACAGAAATGACCACATTCCAGAAGCCCCAAGGTGTCCTCTTGCTTACAGGATAAAATACAAACTCTGCCTGTTTGACTTTTAAAGTCCTTTAAAGTCCAGCTCTACATTTCCCGTGCAGGCTTAGTCAGCATCCTCTCCCTCAGTTACTCTCTACATTCCAGCTATTCCCTGTTCAAGGCATCCCATTCTTCTATATCCATGCTTCTGCATAGGGTGTCTCATGCCTAGAAGATACCGACTGCCTACTGAACTCCACCTTTGGAATCCCAAGGTTTCTTAAAGGCTCAACCCAAGTACTACTCATTAATTACATTTCTCAATCTTGTCTCCAAGAATTTCATGATATTGTCAGATGTTTTGCTGTTATCAAGATACATCATGTCTAAGCATTCCCATGACCTAAATCTAAAACCCTATCAAAAAAGGAAATGAGGTTGGTTTGTAACAATTGCTCTAAAGTAGCCTTATGAACTCTTTTCTAAAATGGTTATAATGTTTGTTAGAATTACAGTGAGAATCAACATCAAGTTTACTAGTCCTGTTTTCAGAATATCAGTCAAATGGTAAGAGCAGATGTTTGTTTATTAGGCACCTATCATGTGAAAGAAACTGCTAGGTGCTAGGGGTGGGAGGAGAGGGACGGACAACAAGGACAAAGAATGAAAACAATCACTACTCTCAAGTAGCTTAACTTACATTCTAATGGGGCAGACAACAGGTACAAATACAGCACAAAGCAAAGGTACAAAAAGTAGTTAAATACAGGGTAGCAGTTAGAGTGATCAGGAAAGGTTTCACTTGTCTCTATTCCATCTTATAGAAACGCAGGCTAAATTGGAGGGTTAGAGGCATCCCAGGCATGGGAACGGAAGGTACAATGTTTAGTTGAATTACAGGTGGTCATACGGTTAGACCTACACTCAAGGAAAATTACTTGGTCATCAGTATGTAGGATGGACTGGAGTGAGGAGAAACCAATTAAGTTGTTGCAATAGTCTTTATGTACCACTTCCTGTTGAAAATAAAATCTGATCCCCATCTAGGCTTCACATTTCTATCAGTGGTTTCAGGATCACACATATAAGTTCTTTCAGGACACCCTGGAATGAAAGGAGCCACTCATTTAAAGTTGCAATCTCTTCTTTTACAACCTCTCTGTCATCTCGTTGAATCTCAACTCTTAAATATGTTTAGTTTAACCATTTTATTTGGAAGAGCTTCCTCAGAATAATCTTTTGGAAGCTCTTCCTTAGTTGAAAAGAAAAGTGGTAAATAGCTCTGCCTTCTCTTAGTCAAGTATTGGTGTTAACAACCACCTTTGCTGAAAAAGTGGCCCATCGATTCCTTATTCATTTTTGCTCTTCAAACATAACTAAAAGACATTAACACTAAAAAAAAATAGCTTTAGTTCATTCTGGCCTTTATTCTTCCCAACACTATTATTTTTCTAACTTTTCCTCCTAACTTTTGTGCAATTTCTTTTTAAGTTTGAACTCATTAAAAAATACCCGATACTACTATTTCATCGGTTTCTTTAGCAGTATTTCTCTTGGGTTTATCTGCAATTGTATAGTCAGAATTACATTTTATTTAAAATCTCTTCCCATCTTTCAAGCTTTCCTTTTTAGAATCTCTGCCCATGGAACTGGAATACAATTATCATGCATTATTATTATTATTATTATTTTTTAACAATCTGATTTTTTCCAAAACCTAGGGTACATATTTATGTTTCAAAGACCTTTCCTTAGCTATTATGAACTCCAAGTTAGGATGGTTACTTTTCCCCAGATTAATTTCATTTCCATAATACTAATAAGTTCTTCCTAGTTAGTCTGAATTAGCAGAGTCAAAATTAATTCTGAAGTAGCAGCTCCCCTCAGTACTTCTTTTGTATCTTCTCAGTGATATAACTGTCATCACAATAAGTTAAAATTACACACTCAGCTTTTAGGACAATCAGATTTCAGAGACTGAGATAAAGTCTACCCTCAACATTCTTCCTTCGCCCATACACAATTCATTACTTTATAATTGTTACAATTAGCATCAGATAACACTGTCCACATCCTTCATTTGCAGTTTACTCACCAAATGAAATAAATTTAGCTACAAAATTAAGGTATCTTTTTTCAAGAATGTCAACAAAGAAATTAAAGAAAATCAAGTGGTGATTTTTACTTGTTTGTGGATATACTGCCATGCAGATAGCTGAAAGTCAGAGCTACTGTATTCAAAGAAAAACCAAAAGTTTTCAAAGTCTTAATTTTATTTTCCTACCATTATGCTATTACTTTATTTGCATAATTAAGTACAGATAAATAACAGTACAGCTATTGTCTCATGTAATAGACCTATATCTTTCTATCTACCTATGCATTCAACAACAGAATTGATTGTCTAATAAAGCAATTTTAATTCATTAAATGTTATTTTCTGACAGGCCAATATGCAACTAAATTAGCATTTATCAAATACCTTCCCATAGTGCTAAGCATAAAAAAGCAAGATGAGAAACAATCTCTGGCTTCAAATAAATAAA